TTTTACAATGTATTTACAGGTAAAATCTCAACATTTGAATTCAACCATTTACTATTTGCAGATTTGAACGTTTCCATGTTGCTACATTTTTTCCAACGACCTTCGACACTTTTTATAAATGTTTATACCATTGAAAGAATAATTCCAAATGTTTCGTACCTAGAATAACCCTCCTAAAAAATTATAATATAATAACTTTATAAGCTGCACATATGCGCATTTTATTTTTTCAGCACAAATTCCTCAATAAAAAATGATGAACTTTAATCTAAGTTCAACATCTGCAAATGCCTACAATTTTTTACCGGACTCTGAAAAAGTTTAATATTATAAATATTGAACTAATTAATCTATAACTGGTGCAGTAATTACTATTAAATTAGGACCAAATATAAAAAACTATTACGAAATTATCGGATTGGGAGTCCGTCATTCCGGTAAGAACAACATATCTTAATTGTAAATAGCAACGATTAATAACACGTCATTAAAGCCGTCGCGACGGTATGTTAATGGTTGGGAGCATAAACAAAATTACCTTACTATATACACCATTGTAAATTAACATTATCAATAAAAATTTATAGTTTTTAATATTTTGGAATGTTTACAACAATATAAAACACTCAAATTAAATTCTTTTTTTTTTTGGACTCTTTTCGCGATACGCAACTGATTTAAACTATTGTGCGGAGTATAAAAATGACATGTGTAATTATTAAACGCGTGCAATACCTGTATACTTCTTGCATTTTCTCGACGAACAAATCAACCTACGGTACATCTGTTAACATCATTGTTTCGCCAGTACTTTTGACGCTTTCAGGAAACCGACTTTGAACAAAAAGCGCCTATCTCGTCGCTTCGTATTCGTCCCGACTTCATACAAAACGCGCAAATACAGATGAATTACATAACGCCTAGATACTTTAACACGTAAAAACAGCACAAAAAAAAGACTTTTTAAGAAAAATATTTTTCTAATAATTTCTTGAGTTTGAAAATATATGGAGTCGATGTTATATAAATATATAACGTAACATTTATGTTAAAATCTAATTAAACCTTTTAATGTCAAAATTAAATCATGTTTTCATTTTAAATTAAGTATGTTATGTTATATAAAACAAGTTAATTTTAATAATTAATATTTCATAACGTATCTACACATTATCTTCCTTTCTCTCTAAAATGAAGTAATAAACACTACTTTTCAATCTCCAAGATATACTTTAGTTTTTCCTTGAAAACTGATTATTATACTATATGTATACAGTTTAAAAGGAACAGTTGTCATCGAGTAGCGACGTCAAAACTAAACTATATGACAGATAAAGTTTATATATAATAATATTAATATAAACTTTAAAAACGGTATAAATAACAAAACCATAGAGACGAACCATTGAAAAACAGATTTGCATTCAGCATTCATTACGCAAATTTTCGACGAAGCATGGCTGAGCTTTGAAACAAATAGTTATGAAGAAATTGTGTAGTGAGGATAATTATATTCACGATTCGTCATTCCTTTCAGGTTCCAAAGTATCATCTGAATAACTTTTTAATTAAACGAATAAACTTTTTGAAATTCAATCGCCTAATTATACTACATTTATAGTATTCAAAGGAGTTTCAAATGTAACAAACAAGTTTATATGTATTCACAGAAGAAGGTGTTTAATTTTGAGATACTAAAATGTTTTATTTCACAATGTCCCTCTATTTTTTAAATATTTAAAGTTTTAAACGAGCTTACAAAACAGTAAAAATTATTTTTATTGTTTAGTTATACAAAGTGTTTCTATTTGAAAATATATAAAAGTGTTTAATTATTAAAAGTAGATTTTATCTGGAAGCACATAAAGATATTTAGTTTTGAAATGCATTTTAAATTGAAAATGTCAAAATCAATTATTTTTAATAGTGTTTAACTCCTAGACATATTTGCATTTTAATTATGCATTAAATAATGTTCATATTGCAAATATATTGTAGTTGTATTATTGTATATTATTCATTAGTATTATATCATTTTTTTTATATAAAAAACAATCTTGCCTTGCATTAATTAGCAGTTACATAAACAATTTTTATTTCTTATACATTCATATTATTATCACATTAAACAATTTTAGCTGAATTTTTTACGCAATAACAAATGACGCAAGAGTACGTCAATAATTATAAACATTAAGCTGACGTTAAAAACAACGAAGCTGACTTTGCACATTTTTCACATTTAATCTTAGGTTTATTAGCATTATACTCCAATTTTCGTCGAGCATCAGCTAACTCAACAAACATTTAGATTGAACCATCTGCGTATGTGATTATTCAAGATTTTGCATATTCACATGGCCCGGCCTATCCAGATAAATTTTTCGAATCTTATAAGGATCATATCTTTTTCCTAAAACAAAATTTGATACTTCTAATTTTTTTATATTATTCTGCACGAAATTAACAATGATCATTACTATTAAATACATTTTACACGTACAGCTACATTTTTCTATATGCAACATATAGTTTAAGTTCAAAATAGCTATTATGGATTTAGCTATAAATATATAATATAAATATAATAAAATTGTTTAAAAATATATAAGTTTGCCAAATGTGTAAAATACTCTTTTTAAACTTGCTTTTATTTCAGTATAAAACACACACAGAAAGATATCATTCTACTTCTAAGAAAAGTGATTACTCAATTTACTTTTCTTTCGAGTAACAATTATTTTTAACAAAAAATATTTTCTTGATAATAGTTTTAAAACATACCTATTATAAATTTTGAAAACTCATTATTATGAACTCGAAACAAAAATTTATTTTCTTTCAAATATTATAAAATTTTATCAAAGAAACCACTTTATATAATAAACAAATTGAAATGTTTTAATTTAATAATTTTGATTAAAGTATTAAATTTACTAGAACTCAAAATATATTTTAAATAAATGATGCTTGTGATAAATTTATATGACAGATTTGTGATATGTAAACTTTTTGAAACATTTGAAACAAATAATTAATATTTTAATACAGTATTGTATTTCTCTGTATAGGTACGTTATTTTCTATCTAGAAAACGTGAAAATAAAATTGGACATTAAGTACAAAATACACCGGTCATTCACATTTGGTCGTATAAAAATGTAAGTCCAGTCACATATCGCCTTTTCATTATCTATTTTTGTTTCTACATCGCGTGTGAAACTAAAGCCGAGGTCGCGAACGGAATTCAGTCATGTTTCAATACGCGTATATTTAATCACAAATTTATGCGACATTGTGTATAGTTCGGATATGCGTTTACATAGGCGACAAGGGTCGTCACTTACCACTGCTTACAGTGACGACGAACCTGCAGTGAACGTTCGATATTAGCATTTCAGATGCGGCTAAATGCACGGGATAACAATTTACGGAGTATACCAAAAGCTCGCTTCTCCCGTAACATTTAATTCAAGTACATAGTATGTAAAGCTCGAAGATTGTATACGTCATGAAATAAATCTCATGTAAGCCGAAAACATCCCGGCAAAATAGCGCGTGATCCTCAATTCTGTTCAACATAGACTTCTATGTTCAAGTTTTATTCATCTAAGAAATGGGTTCCTCTCAGTAATTTGTATATCCTTAAAATTATATATGCAATATTATATAATTCGAGATTCTTATTAGGTGAAAGTTGGAAACGTGTGAAAAAGAATGACAGTAAAACTAACTATATAAAATGTAGGAATATAGTAAAATTAGATGTAGGAAGAAACATATTTCAATCAATTTCAATCAATTTAACTTTCCCGTATGAAAGATTAAATAATTACTGACCTAATTGCAAGCAATTTGACGAAAATTAAATTGTATTTCACCTGCACATGCTTCCATTAATAAATTAAATTTTCAAGTAATTGATAGAACTCTTCGATTCAATTTTGCTATCACTTTATTTGATCAATTTAATTTCAGAGATATTAATTATCGAGACATTCCTCAACATTCTTTGTCAAACACTAATAATGGCAGCTGGATAAAACATTCGCTAAAATATATTCCTAAACATTGTGATATTTTACGAAATATTTCAAATATTTTCTATAAAAATTCAATGGAAATACGCAATCGCGATTTTTTATTGAATCTTGAACAAGAGAGAATAATTAAAGCATTAGGTTATACTTAGATCTGATTTTTTAGTCCAAATGCTGATCGATCGTATTATTCGAACAATTTATTGAAAAGTCCACGATTGCGATCGGATACACAGTTGACATTAGCATAATAATATGGTAGTATTCATGCATTTAATGTTTTAAATTTTTCTCAAGATGGAAGCTTCTATCTCTTAGAAGCACGTTGCCGAAACGCACAAGAGCTTGTTTTCCATCGTCCGATTGACCTAGAAAAACAAACTGCGCGATGCGACGCAAAATCGGAGCGCACATTTCCGCTATCGCACTTTTCAGCACACAATCACATCCAACAGCCAATAAAACGATTTCCGTCATAGATCATTCCGTGCGCAGTTTATTCAGCATTATATTAACATAATATATATATATCTTTGATGTATTCCGTATATAAACTCGACAGCCGCTATTTACGACACTAATAAATAATATACTGTTGTAGTTGCGCAAAGAAATAAAATAAATAATTTTATTAGAAAACTAAATATTCTCAGCTATTCATGAGAGTTCTTATTCTAGCAATATTTAAATGTTAATTTGCTGATAATAATCTTTTAGCATAATAAAAGTTAAAAATGAATTTAAGAGCTGTACTCATTTCTTAATTATATAAAAAATATTCTAAGTAAAATAATAAAGTCACATTTTGGCGATGTCAAAACGTAATACAAAGTAAATAATGTATAACAATAATAATCGTCAGCCAAGTTTTTTCAATTTTAAGTTTATCCACGAAATTCTAACGTAACCGGGACTTCTTTCGCCAATACGTATCTCTATTCTAACCCTTCCTACACGTACCTGCGAGATGGAACGAATCTCGAATCACACCTCAACCTTGGCAGGTGACGATTTTCTTCGTAACGGACAATCTTTCAATGCGAGTGAAGCGAGCGAAGCCAAAACCGGAGCACGCACGTCGATATGTAATAACGTCGCAGGCACCAGACCATGTGAAAATTCCGATTTGATTACACGGCGTGTTAAATGTCTACCATTAAATATCAGCGGATCCGAGCACGAGGTACCGTCCTACCTCAACGGCGTGCGATACGAAAGTGGGAGCCTGCGAGATGCGACGCAACGTTACTACCGGCCGGCAGGCAGACAGGCTGCGCGCGTCTGTGTGAGTACGCTACGATTGACTCCGGCTGACGGAACCGGACGATGATTGGTCCAAAACTTAGGAGCACACCTCCAAAACAATTCTTTGGAAAAGACAACTAACCAACTCTCTCTCTCGCGAGCATTATATCAATAAACACACATACGTGATAATAAAGTCCGATAAAATTTGTTTGTTTCTTAATTTAAATACCTTCGAGATTCTTTATTATTTCTATCTAATCTAAATCCGTTATCCCAAAATTTAATTTTCAATAATTCCATTCGGTATTTTCAATTTTTAAAAATCTACTTTTATGTATAAAGAATTAAATGAAATTTATTTATTTACTATTTCATTTATTATTTTATTATTTTATCTACCATTTTTTTTCATTTCTGCAATTAATTGTCTTACTGTTAAAAATACGATTTTTAATAGAATTTTCAGGAATTTAATAAAAATCAGCGAGGAATTCAATTCTAAAATAAAAAATAATTATTATAGTTTTCGTTAATTTAAATTAGTATTATTGATACGCTATATTAAGCACGTAATTTAAAAACACATGTGCTCGAGAATGCGCAGTGTTATTTGTGTGCGACCTTGTTTCTAGATTTATCGCTTTCACTTTGCTACGCGTGCCATCCGCACGCAATGCCTACTGTAAAACTAGTCTCTCTTCCTAAAGAAACCGCTGTCACAAATTTCATACAGATTATACAACGTATTTTACAACCCATAGAATTTTTATTAGAAAGAAATCAATCGATTTCTCAAAAAATTTATCGCCAATAAGAACGTTTGCTATCCAATGAGACAATTAAACAAAATATAAACGAATTAGAGAATCGGATGTTTATAATTAATTTAAAAAAAACTATCATAAAGAATATATATCGTTTCTATGACTGTTATTTACCTACAATGTATTAAAAATATTTTAAGATTTGTAATAATTTTTTATTTTTTATTGGCATCACAATGAAAACCAGAAGAAAAAACAGTAAAGTACTTTAGTTCATTCTTATGTTACGTGCAATTTTTCTTTATCTTTTCATATTATCAATAATTATATAAATTCGTTTCACAAGGCCGCGTTTATTTCCTAAGGAATCATTAGATATAAAACATGCACGTTTTACAGAAAAAAAGAACAAAATCGTAATGCAAAAAATTCCTGTTGCAAAATTTGTCGAAAAAATTCTCGGTTGTCGGAAAAAAAAATCCGAACTGATTATATGTAATCATAATCTAAATAGAACTAACTCAAAAAAGATTTCAATATAGAAAAATATTTTTTTTATATAACCATTAATTATCGAACAAAGATACTTTTAATGTTTCAAGTGGTTTTTCGACAAGATCGTACTTACTATAAAGCTTTCTAGTAGTAAATTGGCTAGCCATATTTCATGGAAAAGGAAAAGAGACGATACGAAAACAGACTTTCACATTGTTATATACCATTCGCATTCATCTTCTTTATACGATTTATTTTAAAGTGCTGCCTCTCTCTTTTCTTTCCATAATATATTTTTATTCTTCTTAAATATAAACGTATTACTTTCTTGAGGAATCGAGGATTTTTAAAATAATATCTCAGAAAGATAACAAGTTAAGATGATATTATCTGACAAAATATTTCATGAGATATGGACGTACAATAGCTTACATTCAATTGTACAGGAAATCATAACAAAGCCTCTATTCAATTTCAGTATTGATATTCAACGTAATAATATGATTTCTAGATCTTTTTGTGGATACAATTTGCGTCATGTCAAATATCATTATATAAATACGAAATATTGATGTAATTTGGTCAGAAGCTGTTTTCAAACATTGCGATAACTGTCACGAGTATAATTGGATGAGGATAGAGTCAATTACTATGGGAAACATAACAGCAAAAGAAAATAAAAAAATTAAAAGAAGGGAAGGAGGAAAAGAGAAAGAGAAACCTTGAAGTGGATAGAAATAATATCCGCAGTTTGTTTTAAAGAGATCATTCGCTTTGAAATCGATTTTGTCCAAGAATTATATGACAATTCTTGTAGTAGCATATCGTTGTCGTTTATGCAACGATATGGGTTTTCTTTCCATTATTTGCTTATCTTATCGTGCGTCCCTCTTCTTTTTTTTTATCTTCCTGGTCTTTACTAACTTGCGCTAAAGATAAGGTCATTTTATTACCGAACAATGCAAGGGAGATTGTTCGCTCGGTATACTTCAATATATATACTTACGAGGGTAGTAAATTTCCTAATGAGGCACGAAACATGCACTTTAAGTACCACGCTTAATACAAAAAATACAGAAAAAATGTTAAAAGAATATTTAATGAAAATCATATGAAAAAAGTAATATTTAAATAATTTATTTTATTTCTTTCTAATGTTTCTACAATATTAATTAAAATATAGTTTCATTAAAATATTGATATTTTATTTATATATCATATATTATTTATATGTAATGTTAAATAATTCTTCTCTCCTTATGCATCGTTTCAATAACAATAAATAGAATAATTTGATGCATTTAACACACTATTTAATTAAATAATCGAAATTTAAAACTTTTCAATTATCTCCTGCATATATGTGATAAACATCAGCAAACAACCTGCCCTATACATGTTCTCACGGCTGTTACCACAAACATCTAATATAGTAAGAAATTTCTCAAGCCAACTTAATGATTTGTGAACTTGAGAAACTATTCAACGATAGGTATTCGCGGTAGCGTCCTGAAATTCCTTAAAATGTAGGTAAGAAGACATGAACAGTAACAAGAAGTATGATAATCGAGTAAACGAAATGTTAAATGCATTTATGCGTCTAAATTATTTAACAAGCGGAGGAATATGAAACATTAATGTAGACGTCTACGTCTGGAAAAAGCATTTTAATTTTGCACTCTTAGTAGCACTTCTTCTTAAAAAATAAATCTTTCATATTTACGATGAACATTTAATGAATGTTGAATGAATTATAAAAATAAACCAAATCTATAGCTTTTAAAAACAAAGAAAAATGAAATGAGATATAAATGTCGCAAGATACTTAATTCATTACTCAAATTTTAATCTCTCACAAACAGAAAGTTTATTGCAAATTGTAAAAATCTGCCCTGGCTTGATGTCTTTATTTCATAATCTTTCCTTAAGAAACTAATTAACGGAAAATTAATAGACAAGTATCCATCATCGATAAGCAATGAAATCACACAAAACTAAAAGAGCAATCAGGGCGATAATAACAGAAGTGCTTAAGTGATAAGTCGTAATATCGGAGGTGTGTCAGACTTCGACTAATCGATCCTATTGTGAATCGAATTCCTCGGTAAACTGACGTCCATGTTTGTCATTACGATAGAAATCGGAACTCAAACAATACCCTTCCATAAAGAGAACTTATGTTTTAGCTCGGGTCTCGGCCACCCGCAGAAAATATAACAGCGAACATCGATACGAATGAAACACTACTCCTAACAAGAAGGAGGCCATACTCTTAGTGACTTATCCGAAGAAATATTCCCTTTGGGAATGATTGAGTCAATAACATTCACGTCATTGAGTTTGATTAATGTCTCGTCGAAGTAATAATGCCATTATGATTTTAATAATCAACCACAATATTTCAATACCTCAATCCATATCCATAGAAAAGAATTAAATCTAAATAAAGATTTAGTTTCCAGTTCATTCTTAACTGTTTAATATAAAAAATTAAAATTTTAAACAAATAAACCTCTAATCAAATTTCTATTGAGAAAAACAATCTTGTGTCTCTGCTGTCACAATATCAGTCTTTTATTATTAAATAGTTTCATATCTGTCTTACTTTTTATTAACAGACCGTTTACTTCAAACTATAATTACCTCGAAAGAACTATAAAAAGAGCAATTGGGAAAGGAAACGTAAAAGTCATTCACCATCTTGACCAATATCGATGTCATATATTAACGTCGACAGAATCGACATTTCTATCGAAGACGTAACAATTAAATTATGGTAGAAAGAGATTGTGAAAAATTCTCTTATGATGATAATCTAAGAAGTAACATAAAGCCACACACGAAGAGGTAATCGACACGGGAGCGATAAAGTATCATTCTAATAGATATCATTCCAGAAAGATTGTATACAACTTTCCTTTCAATATCGAATTGAAAGATATTTCGTAAATACCTTTTAATCCGACATTTACTCGACATTTTCTCAATAATATATGCGATAAGTATCTTATTAAAAACAGCAGCTCTTATGCAAATAGACTTGACTTAATCCATTCAAAGTTTTCAGAAAATATTATCTATAACATTTAAATAATCGGTTAATTTTAGAATAAAATTAATAAAATTAGCTTTAAAAACGAGGATGAAGTATTAAATGCCGACCTACATCTTGCTAAAACTTCAATAATAGAAGATATTCAAACGAATTCGGACACAAAAGGTTCGTATCAATCAAATGTCCTGCTCATTTTCAATTCACTACCGAACATATGCTCGACGTAATATTACCATAGGTATTGCATTTGTGACGGAAATTTATTTGCGAGGAAGCCTTCGGAGCAGCGCGTGGACTGCGTAAAATCGAGTGGAATTTACATGAAATATCTCACTATTCCGTCGACTGCTGGCCCTTTTTTCCGCGTTATCTCCTCGCTACTGCGTGCATCTATTTCGCGTCAATGATATCGTCGACAGCGAAAAATGGTACGAGGGATCCGTAAGAGAAAGAGAGAGAAAGAGAGAAAGTCATTACGTACGCTGGCGTTCCGATAAACGCGCGTGTATAATTGTGTTACACAGCGTACTAACATCGTTACACCTTTGATAAATTATGCCGCAGCCGGGCGCAATATTTTTTAAATAAAATTACCAGCCAGAGAAAGCTTGCAAAGTATATATCCTATGAGAGAGCATTG